CCATATTTTGAAATCAAGATACTTTTAAAGTAGATATATTGGTTTAACTTAACATCCCATACAATGAACTGTTTTTCTGTACTTAGATCCTTCACAGTCAAAAAATTTAAAGAAAACATAATAATATACATTTCCACACTCTTTGTGTATATTCCATCTTTATGTGGCTTATTTTTCTTTCTCTATTGCTTTTTCTACAAGTTGACTCTGTCTCTTTAAAGACTTTGTTTAATTTTTAGAAAACCATTTACTTCTTTTTATAACTCTCTGTACTCTTTTTCTTCTCTCTCCCAAGCCTATGTACATTTATCGAACATTGTGACCCATTTAGAGGTCTTTTTTTAATCTGAATATATCTTTACTGTGTATCTGTAATCATTTTCTGACCAGAAGTGCTTCTTAAAATGCTAAGCAGCAACTAAGGCTGCTTTGTCTTTCGACTCTGCCTAGTCCAACATGGTGGGGCAGAGATCTGTCCAGCATGAGCCATGCTCACAGCCCCATTTTCAGGCCCACACTGGGTCTATATTGCCATTAAGCAAGTTGTAGCAGTCTGCTCACAGACTCCACCCAAATGGTCTATAGCTGGACCTCCTGCAAGAGTTGGAGTCATTTGTCCTGGTGAACCAGAATGCCATCAATTTTTTAAAGAAGTCATACAGTTTTTGCTGTATCCCACAGTGCCTGTCTCACCACAAGCCCATCTAGAAAAAAAAATTATGGCTACCAAGAAACTGTGTTAAACTCTGTTTCTTTGTGTCTAGAACTCTTTTTCAAACTTTCTCAGGTTTTACATGGATTTAGCTAGTACACATTGGAGCACCAATTTGTTGTAAGAGGCCACTTGTTCATTTCCAGGCAACCCAGATTTCCAAAATAACCACACAGAAACTGTATTAATTAAATCACTGTATGACCTATTAGCTCTAACTTCTTATTAGCTGGCTTTTACATCTTAATTTAACCAATTTCCATTATTTTATATTTTACCATGAGGCTCATGGCCTACGCAAAAGCTTCTATCATGTCTGTCGCTGGTGGTGGTTCCATGGCTTCTCTCTGACTCCACCTCCTTTCTCCCAGCATTCAGTTTAGTTTTCCCCTCCAAGCTCTATTCTACCCTATCATGGACTCAACACAGTTTCTGTATTAACCAGTGGTATTCACAGCATACAAAGGGAAATTCCACATCAGATACACTACTATGGGCATTCCCTGTGGGTTACAGCCCAGAGGCATTGACTCTCTATGGGTACTATTTGGGGTAAAATCATGAATCGTTAAAAAGTATTTGTGTAAGAAAATTAATATAACCCTATAAATATAAAATCCCACCTGTGGGCATCTAAAAAGTTTGCACACTCAAAGTCTTTAAGAGTATTTTGAAGCCCAATTTCAGTGCTAATCATTTCCATAAACCTTGGCAGATGCCTCTTTAGGATGTAATTATAAGCTCAGGATAACAAGCAATGTTAGGACTCAATGTGGGATATTTTCTGAGCACAGTGAAAAGAAGACCTGGCATCACAGTAGCCTGACACAGTTGGACTCATTTTTACTTATGATAAGTCTGACAAAAAGTAGACTATGCCACAGTTGGGGACCCATGACCTCTAACTTCACCTCAACAGGAAAAGTGAGACGAGATTCCATTGGCTCTCAGTTGCCTTCTGCCTTGGGTCACAGGCCTGAAGGATTTGTTCCTGGACTAATTGTAGGAAATCCACAGGAGTGCAGGGATCTTTGTGCAGTCAGTCAGTGACACACGCTGTCATGGCACAGCTCATAGCTGGTCAACAGACACCAAGGAGGAAAATCTGAGGGAAGAAAGGAAGGGCTCACAGGAAACCACACCCACTACCTGAGAGCATAGGGATCTTAACCTTATGCCTCATCTGAGACACCATGAGGCACAAAGGGCACAATGATTAACACACACACACACACCTGTTAATCACTGATGGTATGCACATGTATCATGGTATATCATCTGAAGGGAGCCTGTGTGCTCTGACCTAAACTCACCCTGTATAACCCCCTTATTGTCTGTATATTGCCTTATTGCCTGGAGAAATCTTCCCTATCACTTTGTTGTCAAGGGTATTAACCTGAGGGTTGTAAACAAGTGACTTACTGCTTTAAAGATAACTCCTAAGAGGCAGTATCAGAAGGTTATCACCACAGAGGGGACCCACCTGCCATTACTCTCATTATAGGAAGGACTCCAGTTCCCCTGAGGCAAATGCCATCCCCATCTTTTCAGTTCTCTAGAGCTACTGGTATAGATCCACTTTCATTCATGTTCATCTTTGAAGATATTCACATTTGGCAGTCCTGTTATTCATATTTAAGAGTTTAAGGGGAAACACCACACTGGAAGCAGACACTCTGCTCTGACTGGCAGGACATTACAGAGGAACTTCACAGGCTCTCATGTGCAGGGACTGTTGGCTTTTGTTCTCTCAGAGGGCAGCATTCCACAGTCCTCTGAGACCTAAGCCATGTCCAACTGAAGCTCTAATGGATCAGCAATGGTCTCAGAAATCACCACCAGGAGATGAAGAAAAAACTTGGTGAGCTTCATATTCTGTGTGTTGTGCCCAGAAGACATATTGGGGTATGACCTATTTGCTTGTACTTTCTCTCAAAAGATTCTCTGGCACTTCAGGAATACTGATGGTGCCTGTCCCATTTCCACTTACCATAGCCTCACTCTACTCTCAAAGCCTCCTTAACAGTCATTTTCTTTAATGGAGAATAAATTTCTGCCAAGTGTGGTACATGTCTGTAGCTCTAGTACTCGGGAGGGTCAGGCAGGGGGATTGTGAGTTCAAAGCCAGAATGGAAGGAAGAAAGGGAGAGGGAGGGAGGAAGGAAGAAAGGGGAGAGAAGAAGGAAGGAAAGAAACCAAGGAGAGGAGAGGAAGGAGGGAGTGAAGAGGCTCTAGAAGGGCACAAAATGAATTGATAAGTAAGTTTGTTGTGTTGATAGGCAGCAGTCACTGTTCCTGACATTGGTGGGAACTGATCTAGCCCTGCCAGGCCTCCTTTAAGACATGTGCCTTTAACCCTAATGTGAATTCCAGGTAGAAGATAACAGGGTTGAACTTCTGTTTACCTTGACCAACTAAACCTAACTCAGTCTCTGAGTTCAGTGCTTATCACACGTGAACTGTCTCTTCCACATTTCAGAACCAGCAAATCACAGAAAAGTACTAGGGGTTCACATCTTGCCTCGACCACTATGAGTCATTATATTCTTTGAAATCCCAAACCAGGAAGGAGTAGAAAGCCTACTTGATTCTGGTATTGTCTCCAGTCAACAAGTCAGTGGAATTTAGCTCTCTTGAATAAACGTGGTGTGGCATTTGGCTGCTTGTATACGAGGCCTGTACATAGACCAAGAGAACCTGTGCCCAACCAGATTCTCGGGACTGAGTGCTCACTCAGGTCTGCTGTCTGGAGACCCTCACCTTGACCTTGCTCGTGATGTGTGTGAATGCAGTGAGCAAACATGGCTAATGAAGGAATGAATAAAGGGAAGCTCTGATGCAGAGCGGCTGCTGCCAGGTCCTGATGTCAGTTCTTCCACCCTCTAGATGGCAAAGCCACCATATTGTTACAAGCCTTGGCTTTTCTACCTGTCAAGAGAAGATCTGGCTGGTTTTGGTTTTGATGGTATATGTATTCCCTAGTACACACCCAGGAACAATCACCATTCTCTTTCCCTGGCTCAGATTTTCACATATTCTGAACTAAAGATCCAGAACATGGTGCTGTATGATTTTGAAAAAGGTCACAGACAGAAGAATTTCCCCCAAGAGAGACTCAGAAGAGGGATAGGAACAAGTGTGGAAATGAGGCCCTGGAGGTAGGAACCAGGTTCCTCCAAATGGAAAAGCAATAGTTCTATCTCGTGTAAATTTTGCTGAGTTCAGATGAGAGCATATTGCAATATTTATAGTCACGCAGTCATATGAAGCCTTAGTAAAATCTAGTAAAGTAAAAAGCAGGGGGAAAGCAATAATTCCAATGATACAGAGCAAGATTAAATGTCTAGTGACAGTGGCTGAATGTCCATGAGCCCCTGGTGTGGGAGAATTGTCTGTATTCTGTCAATCATGTTTTAAATAAAGCTCTGATTGGCCAGGCAGAAGGTGTAGGCAGGAAAACCAGACAGGAAGTGGAAATGATGCAAGGAGAGCAGGAGAATTCTGGGGAGGAGGAAGTTGATTCCTCCCACTCCTTCCCAGATCACCGAAGCAGCAGGATGTGATCTGCCTCACTGAAAAAGGTACCAAGCCATATGGCTAGCATAGATAAGAACAATGGGATAATATAAGCTACAGGAAATAATAAGAAGCCTGACCTAATGGGCCAATCAGCTTTATAACTTATAGAGATCTTTGTGTGATTTTCTTTGGGACCTTGCTAGCTGTGGGGAACTGGGCAGGACATAAACAACAAACAAACAGGCCCCCTCATGTTACAGGCCCCTATTTTTACCCAGCTATGAAAACATCCAGGGTTAAATTCCAAGCCAACATACTCAGCAGATCTATGACCATGTGATAATCCAGTGTGTAGAGCTGGGGAAGGATCACAGACGCAGGGAAGTCCTTCGACTGGGCCCATCTCCATGCTCTGCACCCCAGGAGCTTGGACCAGTTCAGGTCCCAGCAAAGTTCTTGGACACACATACAGACCATTGTTGCATGAGGAGGGGGCCCCTTGTTTGTCCCAGCCACCTGGATAGCTTACACCTGAAATAACCACACAGAAACTGTATTAATTAAAACACTGTTTGGCCATTAGCTCTAACTTCTTATTGGCTAACTCTTATCTGTGTATCACGACATGACAGTGGCTTACTGGAGAGTCTAACCAGCATTCATCTCAGGCAGAGGATCCATGGCTTCTCTGACTCTCCCTTCTTCCTCCCAGGATTCAGTTCTGTTTTCTCTGCCTACCTAAGTTCCACCCTATCAACTAGGCCAAGGCAGTTTCTTTATTCTTTAACCAATGAAAGCAGCACACAAACAGAAGGAACTCCTACACCAGACCATGCCTGTGCCTGGCTCTTCTTGAGTTTGAACTTAGAGGTCTAAAGTGCTCCAGAGCTGCAACTGATCACCATTAATCCATCAAGACATCCTCAGCAGAGACCAGGTGCCCCAGAAGATTCAGAGGAGATATCACCCTCACTAGGATTTCAGCAATGTGATCAGCCTATATAGGAAGACTCACCAATGGCTTCTCAGGCTGATTTATATGCTCATATAACCCAGTTTCCTCTAGCATGGAGGTGAGCTAGTGTCTGCAGGTGTGCATGTCTCATATTGAAGATGCATTGAGGATGCAGTAGCTAACAGACTCACTGCCTAGCTACATCATTCAAGTGAGGGGAAAGGGCTGAGAAAGCTGGTTCATCCCAGACTTAGCATTTAAAAGTAGAAGGATTGGGAAGTGAGGGGCAGGGGACTCAGGAGAGGGCCTGAAGGACACTATTTGTTTTAAGACACCCACCCTAAGCTTCTTCCACCACTGCCATCTGGCAAATAATGGGACACTCAGTTGGGGGGTCACCAGTTGAATTAGCAAAACAATTGATTGTCATTCCTGCTCCATCCTCAGGCTGGGCGTCCTTGGACAAGTAAGTAACCATGGCTACTGGCTCCTGACCTGTAAAATGGGAATGATCACATCCATGGCTTCATATGTATACTGAGCCCTGAAATGAGCAGATGAAGGCATGTCTCAAACCTTGAGAACATAGTGCAAAAGCCTGGTAGATGAGATCTGCTATTGCTCTGGGTGCCAAGTGGGAACAAGTCTTGACTCTGCTTGTATATGAATGGCATTGAGAACAACACTGTTTGCATTCCTCCTTCTTCTCTCTCTACCCCTGACAGTTCCCAGTAAGGTCATCCCAGATCTTCCCAAGTATCACCAAAGGTTATTGGAAGTTTGCGCCACAGGCTCCCCTCAGACAGCAGAGCAATTCTGTTCCTGAGAGTTCTCCAGTGCCTGCCAGTAAGTGAGTAAGTTCTGGGGCATCACGGAGTGGCAGGTCACAATTTTCCGAAAGCTGCACACAGAGAAGCTTAAGCCAAATGGGAAAAAGGTCGGTTCAGTGTGGAGTTCCTCAGGCTGGATCTTCAGCATGGCCAAGCAGAGCCCAACAAACACATCCTCCAGCTTGAGGAATGGGACACTCTCTGAGACATTGAAAACTTTGCTGGCCACATCACTAGAAAAGACATAACCTGTACCAGAACAAAAAGGTGGGTACCTGTCCCAGGGATATTCAAATTTACTCACAAACCACTTGCTGAATGTCTCCCTGATGGGAGTGTAATCATACATTATGGAACCCGTGAAGAACCTGGAGGTTTTGTTTTTTTTTAGCAGCAGGTCAGTCAGATAACCAACATTCACAAACACGTCTGAGTCTGTCTTCATCACAAAAGCTGACTGAGGACAAAAGTGGTGGACCCATTCCATGCCCATCATGGTCTTCAGGGTCAAGGTGAAATAGATGTCCTTGAAATCCTTCTGGATGATGTCACGGTACTGCTTGCCCTCCTGGGCTATGGCATTCATCTCATAGGTTCTGTCTGAGGCCCCCAGGAGGAAGAGGGTCTTCACACGCTTTCCCCGCACCTCTGCCTCTCTACCCCATGTCTTGCGGATGGCCATGCGAGCCGCCAGCTGCTTGTGGGACGAAGTCACCAGCAGCACAAGGAAAGGGGGCTTCTGCTTGCAGTCTATATCTGGAAGCTGGAGGAACTTCCCGTGACCTTTCTTGTAAACAATTGGCGGTTCCTCAAAAGGTTCCATGCTGAAGTACAAGCAAAGAGCGCCCATCATCAGAATGAAAGCATAAACCAGCCTCATCTTCATCTTCATGAAGTCCATCTGAAAGAACAAAGACAAACTGCCAGGTCTCCCAGGAGAGAAAGTGGAGTAACAGATACTCAAACACAAGGAGATCAGAGGGCTCTGTTCTGGTGTTCCAAACCTAGCACCAGGGCCAGAATTTATACTTTATAAGGAACTAACAGAGAAGTATCTGGAAGTTCATATCACAGGGCTAGAGAGACAGCTCAGTGGTTAGAAGCATTTCCTGCCAGCAATTACCTGCATAAGCTGTTCCAGTGGATCTGACGCCCTCTTCTGGACTCTGTGGGCACTGCACACAAGTGGTGCACAGATAAACATGCGGGCAAAATTCCCATGCACACAAACTTAAAACCTTTAAAGTTTTCCCAAAAAGTTCCAAACACAAATGAAAAATAGATAATTAAGGAAATGGAATGTGAACCTGTGTAAACAGTACACATTATATATTTGTACTATATTATACAAAACCCCACATACACACAATTTAAAAATGAACTTTTAAAAAATATGAGTTGATGTGCCAGGTGGGTGAGATAGATGAAGAGATCCATGGTTTAGAAAACTCTGGAGAAGCTAGAGAGATACTTCAGAGCTTAAGAACATTGGCTGCTCTTACAAAGATCACAATTTCAGTTCCAGAAACCACATGGAGGTTCAGAACCATCTATAATATGATCTGATGCCCTCCTCTGGCACGCAGGAATACATGTAGAACACTCATACATAAAATATAAAAAAGAAAAAGAAAGGAAGAAAGTCTGGGCTCTTAGAATACAGAAATGGAAGCCATGCCTCAATATTGAAGCACACAGGACAGCCTGCCTTGCTGTCCCCCAGTGCCACACTGACAGCCTTGGGATTCTAGATGCTGGTCCCAGTTCTGGAAACTGCCAGCCCTTCACTGACGGATTATTCAGACTTCTTGTCCTTCAGTAGATGAGACCAGATCTCCCAACAGATCCTCAGCTCTGACCTCTGGTGACTCCATAACAAGGAATGTCCCAGTAGAGCTAGACAGCCTGTAGGTCTGACAGTTGTGCATTCAGGGTGCAAGCACAGGTCTAGAAGCAGTGCATTCTGGGTACAAGCACATGACTGGCTGTGAAGGCCCAAAATTATGAGCCTATTTCCACATTGACAAGGTCAGAGAGTTGGAACTTACCTATACTTCTTTCACGGTTGTTCTGCCTCCATCTCAAACTGCTACCACCTAGTTGTAGACCAGGAGTCCTGCTCTCTCAAGATTTTTGTCAACAGGTGTAGCTTATAGCTAGACCTTGTACTTCAGGAAAAAAGAAGTAAATATGTTCCTGCTTCAAACAAAAGTCTAAAGATCCAACTAAGGATCCAGATCCTTTATGAAGATAACTTTGGATTCCACACAGGGGGTGTTTTGCCTACAGAGTGTTTTGGTCTAGGGTGTGAGCATGACTTATTTTGTTCTAACAACAAAATATTTAACTATGGATATAGCCCACAACCTTCAACTGGTATGTTCATTGCCTTGTATCATGTTAATGGAGTTTTTTGTCTTACTCCTACCTTTTGGGGTAAGGGGTATTTAAAGCAAGTGGAAATTCAATGCAAATTTCAGAACTCACTGGAATTCGCTCTGGATACTATCCTATATGTTTCTCCAGTTTATTATTTTCATTTGTGTTTTCATACTCTTTACTATATTTCTAAATCCCAACACCTCTAGCCTGGTAAGAGGTATTTTTGTAGAGGCTACTCCCCAACAAATGGCCACAGACTTCTCTGCTCTAATTAAGCATGCTCAAAAAGCAACTCTTAACACTTTGAGTTCCTGACAACTCATGTGTCTGAACTCTTGGTTTGCAGCTGACGGTGCTGTTGGAAAAGGTTGTAGAACTCTTTATGAGATGGAGCCAAACTACAAGAAGGGAGTCCTGGGGAATGAGTGTTGAGTTTATGGCACCATTCAGTTCATGTCCTCTCTCTGCCTTCTGATCCACAAGATATGAGCAATAATCTCACACTCTGCTATCACAGCTACAAACTGCTCCCAGTGGTATGTGTGTATTCCTGCTGCAAAAGAGAATCACCTCAAGTCAGTATCCAAAGTAAATCTCCCCCATCGTAAGTCATTTCTCTTTAGGTATTTGGTCACAGCAATGAGAAAAGTAATGAACACAAAAGCACCTCTGGTTTTCTGATTTGCACAATTACCTTGAAATTCAAGGAACCTGGAATGTGGTAAGTTTGAGATCTTCTGTGTTAGTGTTGTAACACTGAGACAGAAAAACACTCACTTTTGTTGAGCAAGAATTTAGCTCCCTCCAGAGGGCTAAGTCACAGGGCAGAAGCCACGATGAAATGAATTCCTTGTGAATTCAAGACCATGAAGGGGTCATCGACTTAGACAGTTTGCTTGAGCTAATGGTAACTCACCAACTCCTACTGGACTGGGAGTGAACAAGCATGGGAACAACCAAGCCCCTCTGAAGGGGGTTGACAGCTGGGACAGACTGAGGGCCCACTGATAGTGACACTGGGATGTGTCTCTACTTGCACATACCGGCTCCATGGGATCCTATTCTCTTTGAATGTAAACCTTGCTCAACCTAGACATAGTGGGGAGGGCCTTGGACTTTCCACAGGGTGGGGTGCATGGCACTCCCTTAGGGTTGGAGTTGGGTCTGTGGAGGGAGAGGGAGGGGACTGGGAGAAGGGGAGGGAGTGGGAATTTGGATTGGTATCTTTTTTAAGTAATAAAAAAAAAAGAAATGAATTCCTTGTGAAGAGCAGTTGGTGATTAATGTTCCACCCTACTTTCCAAGACAATCTTCTAGACTCAGTTTGTCTACCAAAAATGAAGATTGTGTCTCTTAGGAATAACTAGGAAAAAATAATGATAGAATCAAGTTGTTTTCACTTTACTTTACACTTCACCCTCTCCCTGTGTGACCGAGAGCAAGTGTGTGAGCTGCATTCTTGGACTCAGTTTTGTGACTTCTAAAATGGGTACAACTGAGGCACAGAATCAACCATATGATTCACCTGTCTTCAACAACAAACAAGTATCTAAGAGTCCTCTGAGGTCTCACAGACAAAGATAGGCCTTGTGGTGGTTTGTGGGAGAATGGCCTCTGTGGGTATATATGATTGAAGACTTTTTCATCAGTGGGTGGAAGTCTTTGGGAAGGATTGGGGGTATAGACTTGGTAGAGGAGGTGTGTCACTGGGTATTGGCTTTGAGGTTTCAAAAACCCACACCATTACCACTGTACTCTCTTTCTCATGGCTGTGGATCAAGATGTGAGCTCTAAGCTGTTCTTGACATTCTTGTCTTTGCTGTCATCATGGGACACTAACCCTCTGACACTATGAGACCAACTGTATGCTTCTATGAGATCCTTTGCTCATGGTGTTTCATCACAGCAAGGGAAAAGTAATTAACATGGAAGTTGGTACCAGGGAATGGGATAGAGTCTGACTGGCCTGCTTTGTTTTGTTTTGGAGGAATGTGGAAGACAGTGGGGCTTTGGATGAGGAAAAGAGCTGAGCTGAATACTGATTACTGAGCTTAATGGGGCATCCTAGTAAGAGTGTGGCAGTAGTGCTGTGGACCATGGGGGCCCACCTCAAGATGTCTCAGAGGGGAGCAATATTACTAATGGAAATAGAGACCATTTATGTGATATTTTGACAAAGAATGTGGCTACTTTCTGCCCTTGTGTAAGAACTTCTCTGAGTGCTAGAGAGATGGCTCTGTGGTTAAGAGCACTGGTTGTTCTTCGAGAGGACCTGGGTTCAGTTCCCAGCACCCACATAGCAGTTCACAGTTGTTTGTAATTCCAGTTCCGGAAGATGTGACGTCCTCACATCAATGCACATAAAACAAAGTTAAAAAGAAAAAGAGTTGGTGTGCATTTAAAAAAAATGAATATGCCTGAGATAAATTGAAGAATAAGGGATTGATTGAGTTCTGTGGTAGTTTAGATGTAATCGGCCCCTATAATCATATAAGGAGTGGCACTATTAGGAGGTGTGGCCTTGCTGCAGGTCACAGTGTCTCTTCACAGCAATAGAACGGTAAGACAATTTTGCTGGCAAAGCAATTTCAAAACAGACTAATACTGACTTTCTCATGTGGTTACTAGTGATACCCTTAAGCAAACATACAATAAAAAAAGCAGGTGGAACAAAAATTAATATAAAATGTTTGAGGAGAAAAACAGCACGAGATTAATTTAATGCTGGAACCCAGGCTTGTGCTGAAAGAGATAAGGACATTAAAGAAAGCCTGGATCCAAACTGGAACAAAGACAGGGTCTCCTCAGGGCAAGACCCCACCCAGCTAAGCTCCTGACTTGTAAGAGGGAGGCCTAAGCAATTTTCTGTTCCTAAAGAACCTGCAAACATGATTCAAGAAGGCAGCCAGACTTGAAATTGTCACCCACATGGTTCAGGGGTTGTGGAGAACTTAGACAACAATGCAGACACTAAGAGAGACCTACATAGATCTAATCTAGATGGGAAGTAGAAAGTAGAAAAAGACAGGAACTCCTGAGTAAATTGGGAGCATGGGGACATTGGGGGAAAGTTGAATGAGGGAGGGGAGAGGCAGGAAGGGGAGCAGAGAAAAATGTAGAGCTCAATAAGAAACAATTAAAAAAATCAAAAAAAAACATTAGTGTGTGTGTATGTGTACTTTTTGTGTGTTTACACTACAGTGCAAGTGTGGCGGTCAGACAAAAACTTGCTGGAAGCCCAGTTCTCTCCTCTCACCATGTGAATTCAGGCTCCATGAACAAGTATCTTTACCTCCAAAGTGCATTTTCTCTAGACACTTCACAAAGGTTAAACTTCCCAGGAGTTAACACTCCCCTCCTCCACTGCATCACCCTCTACATAAACACCAAATGGCAGCCCATGGCCAAAGTAGAAGCCATTCCCAATGCCAACACTCCCTGGATTTCCTGTTCCCATAAGAAATGTAACATTTTTCCTGTCTATAATAGAATTACCAAGAAACT